AGTCTCATTTAACCCAGCTATTCACCTTCTGGGTATTTTTACAGAGGAATTGAAAACACCATACTACAGTGACATATGCACAGCCATGTTTATAGCAGCACAATTTGTAGTAGCTAATTCTTGGAAACAACTCAAATGCCCATCAACCAAGGAATAGATAAAAAAGATGTGGTATTTTTATACAATGGAGCTATAAAGAAAGATAAATTCTAGGCTTTTATAGGTAAATGGATGCAACTAGAGATGATATTCATAAGTGAAATAAATCAGACCCACATATGTAAACATCATATTGTGTCCTCAGTGAAAGAAACTGAAAAAGGAAATAAGATCAAAAAAGTACAATATATTTTGTGAAAGGGAAAGCTACTAGAATGAGTGTTTTATACATATATATATATATGTTAAGATAATTGCACTACAAATTTCTATTAATGCATTGAAAGGAAAAATTAGTGCTTATATTGTTTGAGCAATCTTACATGCCTATATCTGGTAATCTGAGCAACTACTTGGAAGATAACAATATGCATTATAGTAACTATTGTTAATTTACTATCACCTTATTTTCAAATTCTGTATTAGTTTTATTTATTTTAATTACTATTATTATTTTCCCTTTTAAAAAGAAATGGGAAATAAATGTTTGAAAAAATTTTCAACATCATTTGTCATTCAAAAAATACAAATTAAAACAACCTTAAGATTCTCATCCCAGGAAGAATGGCTATTATCAAAAATCAACCAAAAACAAAGGCTGGCAGAGCTGGGGGGAAAAGGAACCCTTCACTGCTGGTGGCAGCATACACTGATGCAACCATTGTGGAAGTCAGGGTGGAGATTCCTGAACAAACCAGGACTAGAGGATCCATTCAACCCAGCTATACCCCTTCTTTGCTCCTTCCCAAAAGAAGTAAAAGCATCATTACCCAGTGATATATACACACTCATCTTTACGGTGGCACAGATTTTTTTTTTAAAAGAGAATAAACAAGAACAAAGCAGCAAGAGCAACAAAGGCAAAAACTAAACAACACAAGAACAATAGAAGCAATACAAAATTTCAAAACAAGATGATAGGAAATTAACAACAGTTGTTATATTACATATTGCTACCTTCAATGAAGTTGCTCAGATTATCAGATGTAAGAATGCAAGATTGATCAAATAATGAAAGAAAATAAAAGTTATAAAAATTAGAAATGCTACAAAGTTTCTCTAAATAAGATGGTAGGAATTCAACAATGGTTGTTATATTGCATATTGTTGTCTTCAAATTACTGGCACAGTTTTTAATAGCTACATTTTGGAAACAACCCAAATGCCCATGCACCAGTGAATGTATACAGAAGATATGGGTTTTTTTATATACAATGGAGTACTACTCTGCCATAAAGAAACACAAGCTTGAGACATTACTAGCTAATTCTAGGTCCCTTGAGACCATACAGTTAAGTGAAATAAATCTGACACACACGTGTAAAAACCACATTGTTTCTCTGGTGTGAGAACCTGAAAGTGGAAGTAAGGACCAAACTATATAATAGATATTGTGAAATAGAAAGAAAATGCTCAAATGGGGAGGAGAACTAGGAAGGGGGAGGGTGAAAGACAGGATGGGAAAAAATGTGATGAGAAAGAAAAAAAATAGAAACAAATTTTTTGTAAATAAGGAGGGGAAAAGAGGTTGGTGGGAGAGTAGGGGAATGGAAAAAAACTAATCAAGTTATATCATGCACAGGTACAAATTCCCTGTGATGAATGTGATCATGATATATACCTAAAATGTACCAATAAACTTAATAAAAATGTGTGCTCAAAAGAAGGAACAACTGGGATGAAGGAAAAGAGAAAAAGAAAGAAGGAAGGGAAAATATATAAGTATATAGAAGGATAGCTGTGATAACTGTACAACTGATGTCTAATCGTCTGTTGAAAGGAACAGTTAATGCTTACTTTTTGACCAATTTTGCATAATTATATCTGGTAATCTGGACAACTAATTTGAAGACAACAATATGCAATAAAACAACCATTGGTGAATTCCTACCATATTGTCTAGTGAAACTCTGTTTCGTTTCTAATGTTTTTCTTTTTTCATTTTTTTAAAGTCTCTATAATGGTTTGGTCAGTCTTCCATTCTTACATCTGGTAATCTGAGCAATTTCACTGAAGATGACAATATGTAATATAAGAACCATTGTTAATTCCTATTATTTTGTTTTGAAACCCTGTATCATTTTCATTGTTTTTGTTTTTGTCTATGTCATTGTTATTTTATTATTTTTTATTCTCTTTAAATTTAAAAAAATAAAATACACAATGGAGTACTATTTTGCCATAAAGAATTATAAATTTGAGTTACTTTTAGGAAAAGTGGCTCACCTTGATACCTTAATTTTGAGTAAAATACATCAGACACACAAGCTTAAATATTGCCAAGTGAAAGGCAAAAAAACTACTCAAGAAGAAAGAACTGGGATGGGGAAGAAAAAAATATATATATACACAGGGTAACGAAGATAATTATACTACTAATTTATATTAGTTAATTGAAAGAAACAATTAGTGTTTATATTCTTTGATCAGTTTTGCATGCCTATATCTTGTAATCTGAGCAAATACTTTTAAGATAGAAATATACAATATAATAACCATTGTTAATTTCCTATTATACTGTTTTGAAATTCTATATCATTGTTTTTATTGTTTGTTTTTCCCTTTAAAATAAAAAAAATCCAGAAAAATACTGCCTGGTTTCTCATATATGAAAACCCCAAAATATCAATCAAGTGCAAAATAAAAAATACATGAAATAAGGAGATAGATCTTTTACTAAAGGGAAGGCAACCAACAGATTGAGGAAAGGCACGCAGGGGAGGGAGGTGATAAGAGAATTAAGATGCATTATGCACATATACCAGCTCCCTACAAGCAATGTAATTATGTGCTGCAAATACACAATAATAAAGTAAAAATTGAAAAAATCTTTGAAGCTGAAAATAAGAGTATATAGCTTGATAGAATTCATATTATATAATTTATATTACAGATTTATATTATAATATGAATTATAAACATTATAATGTACAAAATAATAACATTTTACTCAGGAATACGCATATATATGACAAAATAGTAGAAGTACTAAAAATTAGAAAAGAGTACAGAAGAGTCATACTTTTCACCAGTTTCCTTTTGTGCCCCTTCATTCCCATTACATCCCTTCATAAAGGTCTTCAGAATATATCTGGCCAATGCAAGGCACATGTTAATAATGTGTCATACTTCTACAGTGAGGCAATTAAAAAGCAGTATTTCTCCTCCATCTCTTCAACTGTGCCATTGGTCTGTAATCTACAGTCTAGAAGGCAAAGTCACACAATGGAAAAATACCTGGGAGTAGTGACTTTCATTGTACTGACTGACTCACTTAGATTTGAGGGTTCATTTGTTGTTGTAGTATAGCCTAACAATAGGATGCATACAACTTCAGGATAGAGGTTGTGGCTGCACAGGTAGGGAGAAAATGGGACTCTGAGATTCTAAAAGGAAATGCTAGTATACGTGTAGAATCTTTGTTCTTTAAAAATATTTAAAATAAATATACAAAATGTTAAGATTTATTATCTTTGTATCTTGAGTAATTAAGCACTTTAATTTTCTGTGCATTTTGAAATATTTGTCTTAAATATTTCATCACTTTAAGACATGATCAATAATTTATGAAGAATAAGAGAAGATATGTGGTAGACATAAAATGACATAAAAGATTAGTGATGTAGGCATATACTGGACTTGGGATCTGAGTGCTAGCATGATGAAAGAGCTGTGAAGTATTTATCTGCGGCTGACAATGTCCAGAACACTTTACAGAGGCATGTATATTGTGGGAATACACTATTTCTCCCCTCTGGGAGCCGAAAGAGTATATGATGTGGATAGTTAGAATACTTTGTCTAGGTTATTAGTGGTCACGGTGACAGAGGCATCAAAGAGGTAAAATAAATGATGTAGAAAAGTTTGTCTAGGTAGATTGGGTTCATCTGGTCATAGTATAATTTTACAGTGTACCAGAATGTGGGAAGCTGTACCTATCTGACAATACTGTAATCACTCTAATTACTACTCATCTCTGCTTATAACATTTTTTCAGATAAAATATAGCTAAGTATATGTCAGGCTGTTATTAATAATTATTTTCTTACTCTAAATTATGGAAAAAAGGATTGAATACAAATGGTATAGATGAGAGATCTAGCTGGCTCTTGTTTCAACTTTGGTATCAACTCAGTGACACTCTGACAAGTATCTTCCACCCAAACAGGCTTTTAGGGGATTAGAGGTCCCAACACTTGTGGAGATTTGTTATTTGTTTGTTTTATGTTTGTGGATTTTTGAGACAGGGTCTCAATATGTAACCCAGGCTGGTCTTGATCTCACAATGTAGCCCATGTTGACCTCAAACTCATGGCAATCCTCCTACCTCAGCCTCACCAGTTTTTTGCAGGTGTTTACCATCATGTCTGGCCACCTGTGGACGTTTTAATGGTGTGTAAAGGTTCTTCCAGTTTTGACAGCCTAAACTCAATAGGAGAAAGGCCTGATACCTGTCATAGATTTTTTGTTGGTTAGTGGGTACAGGTTTTCTCTTTGGGGATTCGAAAAAGTATTGGAAATAGAAAATGGTGATGCATTATAAATGATGACTAATGTTAAAATGGCGACTAATGTTAATGCATTATACAACTTTGTTCAGCTTTTTATGACTCTTAAGACCTAGGAATTTCTATACACCTTGTAAAACAAGACAATAACAATAATTCATTTATAAGTGTCCAAATATTATAATTTCTTCTTTTTAATATTATTTCATGAGATCTAGACAACAATCCCATAGTGCTTTAAGAAAAATGATTTATCATGAGCTACATGTTTTCACATTAAGAAAATGAAGTTCAGTGTATTTGAAGGACTTGTAGAGGGTAATATAGAGATTACATTTAAAACCAGAATTCAACTCTGACTCCCTTGCAGAATGAAGTTCATTGGAGTACTCATCCCCTCTCCATGTAGTCTTTCTTATCCTGCCTTGCTATCACATGAAGGGGTAAGGAAGAAGGGAGAGAATAGAAGTAGATACACACACTGAACCTCAGAAGTGGGGGTCTGTTTCGTGCATGGTATACATTCTTGGTCTTGCAGGCCTCCAATACGCGTCTTTCGGTAGAACCTGTGGTTAGAGCAATAAGGAATGGTACAATGATGAAACAAGCAATGCACTTAGATCAGTCCTTCCTAAGACCATAATTAACCTGAGCCTACTTCTGAAAAGGTCCCTACCTTCATGTTTGATTCTAACTCAGACATTCTCTTTGCTCATTTACCACACATTATAGGCAAAAAGGTCGCTAATTCTATAAGACTTGGGACAGGTGCTTTGATCCCAAGTGTTTCATAATTTCTTTTATTCCTACAATGAGATTTACTTTAAAACTTGGGCATGGGCTCTGACTGCCAGCATGATGAAAAAGCTGTTAAGTATCTATCTGTGGCTGACAATGTTGTAGACACTTTATAGAGGGATCTTGGGAGCCCAAATATATATATAATAGTTTGACTAGGCTATGAGATGTAAGGATGATAGAGGCATCAATGAGCTAAACTAAAATGGCATAGAAAAGTTTGGTTTAATATAATGGACTGACCTGGGAAGACAGTCCCCACAGATAGCATTAGAGGTAGCTGTGCAGTTGGCCATCTGGACACGATTGATGACAGCACACGTGATGCAACTCTGACATCTGTGATGGCCCCAGTTGTCTTTGTACCTCCGGGGAGGGCAGGCTGTGCAGTATGCATCTCGACCTTCTCCATAACCACAATCCTGCGGAGAGATGGGAGTCACTAATGTTGCTCTACAGAAGCTTGTAGAGAGGATCACCTATGGGACAACTGATCATAGAATAGAGTAGTATTTTTCAAACCCCAAGAGGCAACCCTATTATTAGATCATAAAATCAATTCACTAGGGTTGCAGCCAGAATTGAAAATTGAAATGGAACAGAATAAAATAATGCTATCAAGTATTATAGCGCATAACATGAGGTCAAGCTAAGTATTTATAACAGTCACCATAGGTTAAGTTATACGAAGGCAAAAAGCAAACCCCAAATCTCTATATCTTAAAAGAACAAAGAAAGATATTTTCTCATACCATTTGCTGGGGATTTTCCAAGCTCTATTATGTATTATCTTTATTGGGTCTGTACATACAGAGGTTTCATCTTTGTGCTTTCGTGATAGGAGCAGCAAGGTAAAGAGAGCATTGTGAGCTCAACACACTGGCTCTTAAAATCTTCCCAACCCCAAATGGCCCATTTCAGTTTGCTCATGTCATAGGCCACCGTGATCATTCTTAACTACAAACGGTATAAAAAGTGTAATTTTACAGTGTATCAGAAGGTGGGGAGCAGTACATGTCTGACAAATCACTATAATTACTACTCACCTCTGTTTTATAACATTTTTATAGATAAAAATAAAACATAGCTAAGTATGTGTGTCAAGTTGTGATTAAAATTATTTTTTACTTTAAGTCATGGTAAAAAAAATGGGTAAATGTCAATGTTATTGATGAGATATAAATGATCTAGCTTGCTCTTGTTTCAACTCTGATATCAGCTCAAGTGACACTCTGACAAGGACCTTCCATCCATATAGGCTTTCAGGACATTAGAGGTCCCAAAACCTGTGAAGATTTTACTAGATGGTCTGTAAAACTTCGTCCAGTTCTTGACAGTCTAAGCTCATAGTTTTTTGTTGCTTAGTACATAGAGATTTTTCTCTTTGTGGACATGAAGATGTCTTGGAAATAGAAAATGGTGATACTTGTATAACACTGTTCATGTGATTAATGACAATGCATTAAATACTTAAAAAGGTTAAATAGCACATTTTATCTTATTATTTTACTACAATGAAAAATGAATAATGTAATATACACAATGCTTTAAATAGGTGAACTATATGGTACATAATCTGCTCTTCAATGAAGCTGTTTGGTAAATGGCAGAGCCTCCATAAGCATGAGTTGCTCAATGACAGAGAAATCCTTCCATTCCCCAATGCTTATTGGACTGAGTCAGAAATATACTCACATAATCTGTTATGTTGTAAAATTTGAGTATTTATTTGCTATATCAGTTGGCATTACCTTAACTAATATAATATCTAAGTTGCACTTTCCCAGGGCTGTAAAAAATGAGCACCAGCCAGCCTCTAAACACTGCTGCCCTCCTGTGCCTTTATCTGCTCACTTTCGTCTTACAGCCCCATTCACAATGATCCTGTCTCTGTTGCATTCCTGGAGCATTTGACATAGACTGTCATCATTTTACTGATAGACTTCTTGAGAAAGAAAGAAAAAAAGGCTTCTTGAAGCCTCTGCTAACTTATATGAACTATGAGAATGGTTATAGCTTCTATTTCTGCTTTACAAAGTGGGCTCAGGAGTAAAGTAATAGGAAATATAGTGTACTGATGAAAAGCCCTGATCTAGTGTCCACAGGATCTAGTTTAATTCCTACCTTTTCCACTAACCAGCAATGTGACTTCAGGCAAGGCAGTAGGCCTGAATTTTCTTGTGAATCAAATAGAAAATGTTAACTAACTCTTCTGTTTGTTAAGATCACATGATCTGACCAAATAAACAAAGAAAACATCTCAAAAGGGAAGAGTTGCACTTTTAATATTTGCATTAAATGACTGAACAGCTATGCGAAAAATAATACATTTTGACCCATTCTTCACACAGTAAAAGAAGAATAAATTTTAAGTACAATAGATATGTAAGTATATAAAAATTAAAATTCAATTATTAAAACAAGTATAGGTGAATTTCTCATTAATCTGGAATGCAGAAATCTGCCTAACTATAACTTAAAAGTCCAGAATCTATAAGGGAAAGATAAATAATTCTAATTACATAAAAATGTAAGGAAACGTTCATATGACAAAAGATTTATCAAAAAAGACAGGAGAAAACAAAGAATATATATGTATCTTACATCACAAGCTTAAGATTTATATCCCTAAAACTTATAAACATTACAGAAAAACCAACTCTTTAGAAGGTAAACATAGAATTCATGGAAAAACATAAATGGTTCTTAAGCAGTTGAATGATAATTGACTTTGCTCAGAATAAGGGAAATGAAAAGAAAAAATTAATAAAGTACCATTGTTTGCTCATCAGACTGACCAAACTGCAGAAATCTAATGACATGCTATGTTGATTAGGTTTCAGAGAAACAGGAATACTGATGCACTGTTGATAGCTGTACAAAATGCCACAATCCCATATAGAAACAATTTAACAAAATTATGCAATTACTCTTTGACCCAAAAATCTTATATTTAGAAATTTATCCCATAGATGCAATGTCAAAACTACCAAAAAATTGCATGCATGTGGCTATTCAATGCAACACCATTTATAATAGGAAAAGCCTGGAAGTAACCCAGTGTCAGTCAATAAAGTACATAACATGCATAAGGAAGTGTTTTCATTGTAAAAAGGAATGAGGAGTATCTATGAATAATACAATGTGTAGAATTTCTAGATATATTGTCAAGTGAAAAAAAAATAAAGTGTTCTAACTGTTATCCAAAAATCAGGGATTTGGCCCAGGTACACACACACACACACACACACACACACACACACACACACAGAGTTCTGCTTATATTACAAAAACAAACACTAGAAGGCTATATCATCAAACTAAAATGTAAAACAAACAAAGAAAAAAAACAGAACAAAGAGGAGGGGAATTACCTGAAAAGGGAAGAAAGAAAAACGTTGAATGGGATAAGAATATAAATGAGAGTTTTGTGAATATGCACTTTGATGTATTTTATAGATTTGAATTGGGGATCATATAAATATTTTATAATAAATATAAAACAAGGTTAAATTACAATTAAAGCAATCCCTATATGTGTTAAACTAAATGAAATAAATTAGCTTAAAATAAATGTGTATATATACAGATCATATATGAGTTTAAGATTGTACATTTGCATATATATGTATATATGTATCATCTGTCATTGTGCCTATCACATATTAAATTGCAATAAACAAAAGAACATAAAGTACTACTTTTAGGGAAAGCAAATTATAATGATGTCTAAAGCACTAGTATCAGAAGACCTAAGTATGGCACTTCACTTACTCACTTATTAGAGAATCAACCAGTAAATTGACTGATTGATCTGTTGCACTACTCTTCATTGTACTGATTAATTTGGGAAACACATATTAAACACCTTGTATGTAATGGGATGCTATTCTGGAAATTGTGACTAAATTATGGAACCAAGCAGATAAAACTCCCTCCCCTCATGAAATTACATATTTAGTTATTCTCCATAAACGTTTTTAAGGTTGAATTATCAATGCTATTTCAGAAATAAGCAAACTTCCAGCCCAAGTGTTTTTGTCACAAAACCTGGGTAGCTTGTGTAAACTAATCCACATAGAGACAAGTAGGTAGGATTCAGGGGAATGGATTATTCTAATATAAGCAACAGCCCAGTCTGAAGTTTTCTTCTCTACAGCTAAAAGATTTCCTTACTTCCACCAAATGACTCAAAAGACATGGCCAACAGAAACTGCTTCCAAACTCAGGCAGCATCTTCCAAGAGTAGCGGGAGCCTAGTTATATAATAGAAGACACAGAGACCAAAAATAACACTACAATAGGTTTAAATTAAATTGTCTTTGTAATTGCCTACAAAAAGTAGACCAGGACATACATATTAAACCTAAACAGATGACTGCTTCCTAAAATGAAATATTTCAATGGGAATTTGAGTCCAAGTCTCTTAGCATAGTTGACAAAATGCACATTAAACAATAAAATATTACCTATCATAAGAATTGGGAAAAGCATAACATGAAGTAGAAAAAGTAATAATCTAACAGCAAAAATTAGATAAATCAGATTTTGAAATTATCTGGTAAAGATTTTAAAGCCCTCATAATAACAATCTTCAATAGGCAATTACAAATTATCTTGAAACAAAAGAAAAACTGGAATGTCTCAGCAAAGAAATTGAAGTTATTTTATAAAAGAACCAGATGGAAATTACAAAAATAAAAATTTAAATATCAAAAAAAATCACTGGATGGGCTCAATATTAAAGAGATCACAGGTGATAGGATTTAGTGAACCTGACGATAGAAAAACAGAATGCAGACAATATAAACATCAAGGGTAAAACAGACTGCAAAAAATATATGAAGCCTCAGGCAACTGTAGGTGTACAACAAAATATCAAACAATCATATCATTGGGGTCTCATGTAAAGAAAAAAATTCTTGCCTGAAAAAAATTTCAAAGTAATAAAAGCTGAAAACTTCATAAATTTGGCAAAAAGACTTGAGTGGATCTGTAGATCACAAATACAATAAGTTTAATGCAATATAAACTAATGCATACCATGATGAAATTCCTAAAAACTAATGAAAAAACTTGAAAATAGCTAGAAAGAAATTGTATTACCTATAAAGGCAAAAAATTCAGATGACAGTGAGTTCCTTCTGAAGCCATGGAGAACAGAAGGAAACAACACATTTTTTAAGTACTGAAAGAAAAGAACTGCCAACTACAAATTCTATATCCAGTGAAAATATTCTTCAGGAATGAAGAGGAAAGAAATACATTCTCAGCCAAAGGAAAACTAAAGGAATATGTAGACCTCTTTAAAAAAGAGCCAGAGGGAATTCTTCAAACAAAAAGAAAATTATGACAATTGAGGCATCTGGAAAGAAGAATACACATTGAAAACACAAAATTATTTGTATATAAATTGAGCAGT